GGGGCCCTGGCCGGCTGCGCCGACTCGGGGCGCTGCTGCCCCGGCCGAGACCCCGCCTGCTTCGTCCACGGCTGGAGGCTGGACAGAGTCTACGGGACGTGCTTCTGCGACCAAGCCTGCCTCATCACCGGCGACTGCTGCTTCGACTACGCCAGGGCGTGCCCAGGTGGGTGGCAGGACGAGAGCTGGCCGTTCGTCCGAAGCCAAGGGGCACGGGGGTCCCACACCGAGGACCGCAGCCCCAGAGCCAGGCGCCCCCGGTCCCTCTATCCCGGCCTACGCCAGACCCCCCCATCCAGGTACACCTAGCTCTCTTCGTCCTAGGATCCTCTAGCCCCCTCTCTCTGGGTGCACCCCAAACTCTAAATCCTAGGGCGCCGCAGCCCCCTCCATCCAGCGGTCTCCCAGTCCTCTCCATCTAGGTAGGCCACTCCAAAGCCCACCTCCCTACCAGAGCCTTGGTGGAAGGGGCCGGAGCCCTGTGTTCCGGAAGGGTCCTCTGCTGAATAAATTCCCTGCTCAAGAGCTCCAAATCGGTAGGGCCACCTCCCACCTGGAGATATGGCACTGACAGGTCCCAGGGCCACGCTCCTGGGCCAGGTTCCTCCGCCTTCATTCTGTTAACCCTCAGGGATCTTACGGGCCTAATGACAGGTGATGAGGGAAGGAATGAGGAATTAGGCACCAAGGGCTTGCTCTGGGAGGGTGCTTTCTTCTGAAGAACAAATTCGGGGAGGACCACGGCTGTGCTCACCTGGACTCCCGCATGTCGCACGGCCCCTTTCTCCTAGGAGGCATTCGATCTGTTCTTCGAAGTCATTTGTATCCAAACAGCATGATAAAGATTTTTGTCTCAGGTCTCCCAGTAGGTTTTAATCTTGCTGATTTTCTGTTAGGGTCTGTCTTTTTCATCTTTAAATTTCCCACAGTATCACAGCCCCTGGTATGGGCTCAATATATGATGATTTAATTAAAGTAAAAGGCTACGGAAGACATGGTGAGTATAGTCTTTAAGAACAAGGCGTATCTGAGAGAAGCCAGCCCTGGAAATAAAATTAGCCCTGCTCCCTGATAATTACGTCACTCCAAAGCCATACATCATTAGGATCTGACCTCAAGGATACTGGTGTTGTGAGAGCCTCAGCACCTTCCTGGAAGAGGAGTCTGCAGGGCTGTGTCATTACCTGGGGAACCAGATGCTGCGTAGAGAGAGAGAGAGGAGGAGCCCTTCTGCCTCTTTTCTGCCAGGAGAGGCCACTAGTCATGGCAGGACAGCCACCCAGGCCTGCTGCTGAAAGAACACAGATGACAAATTTTCAAATCCTGATTGAAGGCTAATGATTTACCTGCGAATATTGATCTTTTTGATACACTTCTTTCCCTTTCCTGCTCAAGGCCAGGGTACGTTATTACTAAAGTAAGGTGAAGATTCAGTTACCTAGGAAACTCAGTATCCTTCAGCCAGGCGTCCCCAGCTCCCTCCTCGCAACATCCTCCCTAAACAGCTGTTTGCCCCAGTTACCTGGATCATGCAAGGGAAGCCTTTTCACTATGCAGCCTCTTTCACTAAATATTTTCTCCCCAGGGATCTGCCTACATCTTAAAGGTAAATACAGAATTCCTGTAGTTCAGATAATGGGCCCGTCTGTGATAAGCACAGGGATACAAAGATGGTGAAGACACGTCTCTACCCTCTGGAAGTTCATAGTTGAGCAGGGAAACACACACACACAAAACCATTTGCAAATAGGCTCAGTGTCAAAATAATGAATCCAAGAGGGCAGAGAGGAACAGCTCAGGAGCCCAGAGGAATTCAGGGGAGACTTCCCAGAGGAAGTAATGGGCAAGCCTAGTCCCAGAGAATAAACGAGGAGAAGAGGAATTCCAGGAGGAAAGCGCCCCGTGTCTGTTCAGTGTGACCGCAGCAGCGTAGCCTAGGCCCTGAGGCTCACCTGGTGAACAGGACAGTCAGTGAACACACCTTGATAGGTGAGTGTCATGTGGAAAACTGGCTTTTTTGTGAGCCCTAACAGCACTAAGAGGGATTGCAGAATCCTCCAAGTCTCTATTTGGTCAAAAATAGACCCCTTATTTTCAGTCCAGGAGGTAGATATACTGAAACAAAGAGCCTATCATTGCAGAGTGGGGATTTATTGGGGAAGTAATAGCAGAAAGGAGATGACCTTACCATCCCCAGGAGAGCTCAGAAAGAAATCCCAGCCACTTGGAGCCTAGGAAGAGCTGTGTGCGGTGGACAAAGGAACCCAAGCCAGAGAAGGAGACAGTGTCTGGTAGAATTTTTTAAAGGAGCATTTTCGGGGGCCTTAAGTGCCCTTCCCCGGGGAGTTAACGGAGGCCCTTGCAGGCCTAGGCAGAAACAGCCTCGGGATGGAAAATGCTCCTCGGTGGTTAATTCTCTGCACCTGGAGTTTGGGGGGAAGGCAGCAAGAAAATAGAGACAGTTGAAAGTTGGCCACTTGGCGAGCCTGCTCGTGCTTCAGAGCTGAGGGTGAGAGTGAGGGGCAGGACACAGCCAACGTGCTCGGCTCCTCAGCCCTGGACAAGGGGCCCGACCGTGCAGATTCCGGGGTTTGGGAAAAGGCGTGATGCTCCTGTGTTTCCAGCTGCAGGAGCTGGGGCTTTCAGAGGGCGCTTCCATCACAAAGTTAACATGGGTGGACAGCCGAGCGCAGTCTGAACCCACGACTGCCTGACTTCAGGCTGCCACAAGCCCCATCTGTTTGTGCCAATTCATAGCTTTTAGTTATTCCTAGGTAAATCAAGGTTCTGCAGCCAGAGCCCCCAGTTACTCTATGTACATAGAACCACTCTGCCTCTTAGAATCTCATTTCCTTCTTCTTTTTTTTTTAATTGAAGTATAGTCAATTTACAATGTTGTATCTCTGGTGTACAGCATAGTGATTCAGTTATACATATATATATTCTTTTTCATATTGTTTTTCATTATAGGCTATTACAGGGTATTGAATATATTTCCCTGTGCTATACAGTAGGACCTTGTTGTTTATCTATTTTATATGCAGTATTTAGTACCTACAAATTCCAAACTCCCAATTTATCCCTCCCCACCTCTCATTTCCTTCCTGTCCAACATTATGTTACCTATTGATGCTGCCTGAAGCCTTTCGACTGAAATTGCATTAAATGTGAATGAAAACGTAACTGTGTCAGTAGAACAAAGCATGTCTTCATTCTATACCTTCTAATTTTTTCATCTTGATAAGTGTATTATTTTTTGATGTAGTTAAGAGATGAAATACTGGCACTTTTTTTCTTAAATAGAAAGGTTTAGGGGGTTTTTTGGTCTGTTTTGGGTGATTTTTTTTTTGCTCAGTTAGAATTAAAAATTTGAATCTACAGACACTCCAAAAAAAAATCAGTTTTGAAACTAATCAGCTCAGAACATCTCATGATGATGGCATGGGTTTCCACAGCACTAATGTGTCTCCAAAACCACCCTACCCCCACCCCCCAAAAAAGAAAATTCTCCACTGGCTGAACCTGATCAAGGATGTGGAGGGGCAAAGGAGGGGACAGGTCCAAGTTCCCCAGCCCTGAAAGAACTTCTTGGAAGGCTTGCCTATCAGGCTCATAGCACTCAGTCTCTAAGTCATCACCTACAGTCTGCATTCAAAGATTCTAGAAGTGCAAGGTTGCACTGGATCTTGGATGAGCCACTTAAGGAAAGAGAAATAATTAACCCAAGTGGAACAGGACAAAAAATTGAGTAGTCTTTATAGGCCAATCTCTTCTCCTAGATTTATGGGGAATCTAAGAAACCAACTGGCCAAAATCTGCTGACATCGTATCTGGAGGGAGAAGGGAAAATATTCTGGAAGATGTGGGCTTCAAAACTCAGTCCCCAAAAAAAGGATGTCACAGCCTACAATGATTTAGAAAGTCAAGGATTTACTGGAGCCATAGAGCCCTGAGAGACAGCATGTGGCTTCCCAGCCTTTGTCTGTGCAGGAATAACGAGCAGGGCCTGGCGCCAGTATCTGACATGATTTGGCTGCAGCCCTGGGTGTGCAGCCCCGGAGGGTAAGCATTTACTCTGGGCCGGGCCATTCTCTCCCAGGCACCTCACAGCTCTAAACTTACTTAATCTCACAGTCCACTGTGGTATTCTTGGCTTTTGGTCTCATTTTACAGTCAAGGTAACCAGAGCACAGAGAGGTCAGGCAATTTGTCCAAAGTCACACAGCTAATAAGTGATAAAGCAAGATTTGAACCCAGGAACTCTAGGTCCACCCACACATTTAAACATTATGTTTTTACTGCCTCCGAGAAATGAGGCTTTAATGAGAAGCTGTGGACCTTCCTGATAAATAGAGGTAAAGTGAGTGAGTCGTCTTTCTCCATCAGCTGTGTGCCCCTCAAGGGCAAAAAAATGTGTCCCACTCTTCACAATCCCAAGAACTATCACAGTGTCACTTATGAACGTTTGTCAAAAAAATTGACCAATTGTTGGGGGAAGGTATAGCTCAGTGGTAGAGTGCACGCTTAGCATGCATGGGGTCCTGGGTTCAATCCTCAGTACTTCCATATAAAATAAATAAATAGATACTTAATTCCACCCCCCCCCAAATATTTTTAAGTAAAAAAGTGACAGATTGTTCCACCTGGGGGATGTTATCCGTGGCTTCAGAGGGCAGTGTCACCTGGGGCCTATCCACCTGTCCTTTTTAAAAGTAACACTTCTCTGACTACAAAATACATGTTTGTTGCAGAAAACTCAGAAAATGTAGAAATACGCAAAAGAAGAAAAGAACTCACTTGGAAACTTACTAACCAGAAAAAGCATCATTATCTTCTTGATTTTGATTCCCTTTTTTCCTAGGTTTGCAGGGTGTATAAAATTCTGTTTTTCTAAGGTGACTGCTCCTTTCACTGTCTTGCTAGCATTTCATGGACTTGTCCAGTTAATGTCTCAAAAGGGAAAAAAAACAAAATGACCAGGGGCCAGATAACATGGCTTCTGCAGGAGGAAACAAATACTTGATCATTTTACTGGTGCTGTAGGTGCTGGGGCAACATGGTCTCATTTGACTTCCAAAGAAGTTTTGACAGGGTCCTGGGGAAGGGGTATACATAAGGAGAGAGAAAGAGGGAGATGATTTACATTTAAAATTGTGTCACCCTGAGATTGTACGTGTGTGTGTGTGTGTGTAAAGGAACTGTTTTATTTTTCCTCCAGAGATTGTCAAGAAACAGAAGCTACACATGAATGGTACGGCTGTGGGTCAAGTGCGAGAAAAATATTTCCTTAGGAATGATGAGGGCTATTTGAACTTAACAACGTGAGGGAGAAAGTGCTTTGTCGTGGGTGGCCTTCAACTGTTAGGTGGCCAAGAGCCAGGCAGGCAGGGCCAGATTACACAGAGGAAGGCTTGAGTGTCTGTGATTAACCAAGGAGACACTCCATGAAGATTAGCAAAGACATTCAGAAGAAATAATCCAGACTATATTTACAAAGTGAAGTAGTCTGGCTTTTAGCTTAATTTGCTGTTGCTCCTGCTGTGTGTGTCTGGGGTTGAGGGGGGGGGGAGGTGGTGGTGTAGGGAGGTGTGTTTGGCATCATCGAGAAAAGCATTAGAAAAAAAAAGCTTTTATACTACCCTTTGGTACCTGAAGACTGAGACTAGTGTGTCTAGTTCTGGTTGCACAACTCGCCGGGCGGCAAACGGGCCTAGGGAGAGTCCAGTGGTCATTCTGAGAGGGGAAGTGTCCACAGACAGATGAGTCCAAAAGCTGAAGGGAAGGAGACCGACTGAAACAGTAGGTCCACGGGTGGCACACATAAGATGAACGCAGATTTTTTTCCACCATATTCTGAAATTCTTGAGTGAGGGAAACTGGGCTCAAATAAAAGGAAATACTACTTCATGCCACGGATAGTGAAATTAAAGAAGCTTGTTACTTTCAAGACATGGTACTGGCAGGAGTAATCCATGGATTAAAAAGGACTTGACAGACTGTGGCTCCCAGGAGAAGCTGGGATCCTCGAAACCTGAAGGTGCAGAAAGCAGCCCCCCAGCCAGTGGACAGCCTTCTGGGCCACCATTGCCAGGAGAGCCCAGACCACTCCGGTCCAGGTTCAGAATTTCTTATGTGTTTGGCTCTGGGAGTTTCTGATTTTGCTCCTGGCCTTCTGCGGGCTCTCCTTCCCACCCTGGAGTCTCCATCAGTGCTTTGGCTCCTTACTTATGACGTGAGCAGACCAGAGTCTGTTTCACTGTTGAGCTTAATTTAGGAAGGAGGAGGAACTCGCCCAAGGCCATTTCATTCACTCAGTCATTCAGCAGATATCTGCTGAGCACCTGCCATGTGCCAAGTGCTAGGCATGAAAGAAGCAGCTCAACAATAAACCAGATACACAAATATGTCATTTGAATTACGGAGATGTTGGAAGGCAAGGAACACTGAGTTCTGAGAGGAGATAATTTTATAAGATGTGTGTGTGTGAGAGAGAGAGAGAGAGAGAGACTAGTTGGATAAGCTGGCCAGGGAAGGGCTCTCTGAAAATGAAATAAATCTTCTGGAACCTAAAAGATGGGCCGAACCCAGCCATGCGCAGTGTGGGAGGAACATTCCTGGCAGAGGAAACACACATACAGAGGCCTCAGAGTGTGAAAGAGCCTGGTGTGTTGGGGGATGATGAGGTCGGCGTGGGTGGAGCTGGGAGCAAAGGTGAGGGTGGGGGGCACAGCTCCAGGTGGGAGGAGGGACAGGCACAGGCAGGTCACACAGGACTTTGTAGACCATGCAGGAAGATAGATTTTGTTCCAAATTCAATGGCTACCCATGCAGGGAGTTTTAAAAAGCCATTTATGGAGGGATGGTATGAGGTATAACTCAGTGGTAGAGCCCAAGCTTGGTGTGCATGAGGTCCTGGGTTCCATCTCAGGACCATTAAGAAGGAAAAAAATCCATTTTTTAAAAAGGATTACTGGTACATCTTTTGAGGCAGTTGTACTTGGATAGGACTGGATGGACATCCCTGTTAGGACATGTGAAAATGTCCTCTGTGTGTGCTGATTTGTTACTGAGCTCGATCACTTACTGTTCTGCTCTTGGCCATCCTGCTCAAGCCTTGGTAGGGACATCTGATAACCAGACAGCCCTTGAGGAAGGGGCACCAGCTGGACCATCTGGAAGGGTTTGATGATTCCTTTCCCCCATGGACTGTCCACTGTCTCCCTGCCCAATGAGCCCAGAGCCAAGGGCGCCCACTTGACCAAAAGGAGAAACTCAGCATCTACTTCTGATCTCTGTTCTCTTCTACGCCTGCCTCTTTGTCTCTGTTCCCCAATCTCTGACTGTGCCTCTGGGACCACCTCCCACATAAACTGTTTGCATTCAGATTCATATCTCAAGGTCTACGTCTGGGGAAACTCGACCTGAATGTTATAAAAGAAGAAGAAGAAAAGAGAGGAGTTTACCGAGCTCCCGGGCACCCATTAAATCTAGGCTTCTTTCCCCTTAAATGGGTGGGATGCTGTCATCAAATCTGAACTGTTAACAGGGAGCTGGGACAAGCTTAGAGCCGCAGGAGATCCTTCTGCTCATGAGGTTACAGTGTGTTGGCCCCAGTGATAGTCAGTGAAATGTGAAGGAAGAGAAAGTCAGATCTGAAGACAGAATATTTTGGTATGCTGTATATAGACACGAATTAGGTAAGCTTTAGTGGGAAGGGAATACTCATGGAATAGTTCAAAGGCAGTTTCTGTCACACAGGTGAGATATATGCCTTGTGGTAATAAATCTATCAGAAGCTTCTGTCCTTCTCCCAACCTCCTTGACCAAAGGTTGCTTGTGATCTGTGACAAATTGCAATCCAAATAATCCACAGCATTTTGCCAAGGACAGACCTGAACCAGTAAGAACAACTGAGTTAATGATTCTGTGATTTGAGAACTTTAACTATGGGTCAAACCAAATAACATAAATAAACAGTAGATGCGAGACACAAATGTTGAAGAAATACTGAAAGACTAAATTCATCCGCCATGCCGTCTTTTACCATATGGATAGTTTGTAACTTAGTAACCAAGGCCATATTACTAAGTTCTGAATTAAAGCCGTGGCAAAATTGTATTTTATAGTGATGTCCAAATGTTAATCTTTGAAAAAGTATAATTTTTTAAAGTGTATTATTAAGCGTAGTTCAAGTCCAACATATCAGGGCAGGACTGGCTAGACTCAGGGACAAAGAGATTTGGTGGTGGTGGGGGGAAGAGTTATTGAAAGAACTGAGGTCAGAAAGAGTCCTTCTCAACCAGCTCCAAACCTGGCAGCCTCTTTCAAAGCCCTCTGGTTCTATGGGCCAATTAAATCATGGGACCGAGAAAAATAAACAGGGAAGGTCAACAAGAGATGACCAGCAGGAAGTGATCTGTCATTGATTTTCCAAAGGATGTGTGCATGGGTATCAGGAACAAACTGTCATGTGGCTCGTTCTCGCTTCCTTAGGTAGTTAGGTGATGCCTGTGAGTTTTTAGATGATTAACAGAAGTATGTTTTTAAAACAGCTTGAAATGTTTAAATTGCTAGCCAAGCTTTATGTTGAATGTGACCCTTTCCATGTCAGGGGTTAGCTACGTGCTTCCAAACGATACGGCTTCCAAGCGCCGCGATCCCTAAATCAGAGCGCTGGGAGGCAACTTGAGTTTTTGAGCACAGACTGTCAGAAGTCCAATCAGATTTCAAAGAAGTTGGGCGTGTTTTCTGGTGAAAACTCTGTGAACTTGAAGGGATGAGAGTGATAGGGATAAAGTGGGCTGCAGTTTGTGGGAAAGAAAGAGTTTGGCATGCAGTTCAGTGGTCCATCTTCTGTCTCCTTGTTCTTTTCTTGTATCCAATGTCAAGTCCTCAAGTAATTCAATTTAAAAACTCATTACGGTCCTTTAAAGACTCATTAGGACTTTCAGTGGGGAAGTTAAATGCACAACCACATTGATTTTACTGTCATGGCCAGAGAATTGCCCAAGCGAGAGCCAAATTCTCCCCTATAATTCTGCCCCTTCATGCATGACCGCAAGCATTCTCGACCTCTGTGGGCCTTGGTTTCTCCTCTGTAAACCCCACCTCTCAGTGTATGAGTCCCTGAGCCCTGGAGGATGAGAGCAGAGCATCCAGGAGGAGCCTCGAGGATAGGGGTCCCATGGTGTGGCCCTAAGCCAGGTCTTACGGAGACACATTTCCTGATAAGGATTGACCTGGGTAAGTGATGGGGTTATGGGTGGGAGAAATACATTTTGTTTTTTACACTTTTTTTCCTTTGTTTTCTACAATGAATATGTATTACTGCTACAATTAAAATGTTTTGGGCAGAGGAGGCTCAAGTTAGGATCAAAGAAACGCAAGAGCAAAGATCTGGTCTAAGCCCGAGGCATAAACGGAAATACCCTGAGGGCATCGGTCTCTTTTACTCAGTTTATTTGACTGGTGTGCCTCGGCTCAGTCCCACCTCCAGGATCCAGAAACGTCCGCCTGTCCCTGAGAGGTACCGGATTATCAGCTAACCATCAGGGCGGGAGGCGTCCATGTCACCGTGGTCCCCCCGACCCAGGGCCGGGTCCGAGCGCAGCCGACACGGGCTGAACCCGGCGGTGTGCGCTGTTTTTCAGCTCGCCCGTGCCTGGTCGGGGAGTGGAGCCCCTGGAGCGGCTGCGCGGACCGGTGCCGGCCGACGGCGCGCGTGCGGAGGCGCGCGGTGCGGCAGGAGCCCCGCAACGGCGGCGCGCCCTGCCCGGCCCTGGAGGAGAGAGCCGGCTGCCTGGAGTACGCGACGGCCCAGGGCCAGGACTGCGGGCACGCCTTCGGTACTGCGGCTTCCACGCTTGCCGCCCGGGTGACTTTCCATCCCTGGGTCCCACAGAAAGCCCCCGGGGCAGGGAAACTTGCACGCGCTGCGGGGAGTGGGAGGGGCCCCTCTGCTCGGGCGAGATAGGAGGCTCAGGAAGTGCTTGGTAAAGGAATGCTCCGTCAGCCGCGCCGAGGCCTCCCGGCGCCGCCGCCCCGCCCCTCCCCGCCCCTCCCCTGGGTGTGTTTGTGACCCCGCGGGGGCCCCTTCCTGCGGTGCGCGCGCTCGGTGTGAGGGCGCGCACTGTGGTTTCCAGCGAGCTCAGCCTAGCTGACGACAAGGGCTTTGGGTAGAAGGAGGATGTCATCCGGATAGCACGTGTCCGGTAAGGATAAGGATTTCACCTTTCCCTGTCGTTCCAGTTTAACCATAAACACCCGCACCCATGCGAAAGTAGTAGAAAAATGAGACATTCCTGAAGGATGGTAACAAGATTCTCTTGAAACACCTGCTTCTCTCAGTCAAGGGGACTAGGGCTGAGGGGATGGGGTTTATGGCCGGGGAAGACTGTTCTGGTCGAAGTGAAATGGCCGAGGAGCCCAGCAGTCGGCTCCTCCTTGAGGCGGAAGCCACGGGAAACAGCAGAAAGGCCAAGACCAGAGTGTGGGCTGGGATTAAATCTGATAGAACAAACACTGACTTCTCAGGGCAGCAAAGATCATGTTTTTCATAGGAACCTGGAAAATTCCATGTTTACAGGACCCTCGCCAAGCTATTTTGTTCCTTTTTCATTCCTCACGCAAACATGTATCGAGAGTCTGCTTGATGCCAGGCCCTGGGCTGCCTGCCAGAGTTACAATGGGGAGAAAAGCTGGCATGGAGCCTGTGGTCAGGTAGATCACGGTCTAGCGTCGGGTGTAGGGGGTTTGAGGGTTTGGGGGGCTGATCTAAGAAAAGCACGTGACCATGAGAGGCAGCATCAAACAAAACCTTAGAGGGTGCTGCTCGAACAGGGTTGCATGAGAGGGGACTTCCAAAAACTATGATGTGGCGACCACCATCCAGAGCGGGAGGAGAGGCGCTGGCCGGGAGCTGGTGTGTCTGGGTGATGTCAGCTAAGCAGCATGGCCCAGGACCTCCAGGTCAGAGAGCTCCGAAGGGCAGGAAGCACGAGGCCCATCTGAGAAGCCAAATGCATGCCACGGTGTGGGCAGCAGAGAGGGAGGTGGGTGGTGAGAGGGGAGGCCTCTGTGCTGACACCCCCTCCATGCCTGGCCCGGGGTCCTTGTTTAGGATTCTGGTCTTTATTTTAAGAGCCATGGAAAGCCACTGGGGTGTTTTCTGTAGGAGCCAATGTGATCAGATCTGTGATTTGAAGATATCTCAGGGACATGCGGAGTGGCGGGGCCAGGGTGGAGGCCCCTTCTGGATACGGCCACCATGTTAAGTTCGCAGGGAAATAGTTTAGTGCTCACATGCTCATAGAACAAGACACATTCAGCTCTGCACTCTGCAGCAACACTACGGAAAGGCTCAGGGAGGAAGTCGCTGTGGGACATAATTGATTTTTTTGATGGCTCTCACAACCCAGGGCAGATCTGTCAGAAAAAGTCACTGCACCACTTGGTTACAGGGTCCAGCTGCTAGAAAGTATTCCTTCAGCACATCTGACTCTTCAGTGTCACGTGAGGATGCCCAGATCTCCTCCCAGCCCTGGATCTCTTCATAGAAAGATCATGCAGGTCACAGGAAAAGGGACAGGTGGGTCAGTGAAGAGGATCCAGTTGGACGTGATGGGCCCACACCTGGCCCCTGGGGTCCTCTTCCCTACCTGGAGGTATCCCCTCCTCCGTCCCTGATGGGCCAGGCCAACACGCCAGCCTTCCTCCAAATGTCCCCCAGCTCCCAAATTCCCCATGGCACCTCCCCTCCCCACAAACTCCACGAAGACGATTTTATGTGACTCCCCAGGAGGTGTTACAACTTTGGTGTGACACTAACAAGAGCAGCCTGTTCTTAATGGCCTCCTATCAGGAGAAATCTAGACTTGGGGCAGGGCCACTGGCATTTGTAGCCCTGACTTCGCACCCCAAGATTCCCCTTTGGGATGTCTTTGAAATGATGACTGGTGTCACAAGCTGGTCAGGGCACACAGGACCCCAAGAATGCTCCAGTTTGGTGGCTCCTTAAGCGTGGTCTCAGACCAGCAGCTTCGGCTTTACCTGGGAACCTGTTAGAAATGCACATGCCTTGGGCCCCACCCAGACCCGCGGGATCACAGTCCCTGGAGGGGGACGTAGCGCTCTGCCGGGGACGAGGCCTCCAGGTGCTTGCTGGAGTTCAGGAGCTGCTGGTCCAGCCCAAGAAGGGATGCTTGGTTCTGCCCTCAGCCCCTGCATCCCAGCAGGATCACATCAATGATGCTTTGCTGAAGGCAGAATTTCCCAGAATACACAACCTTTTTCTCACACCCCCTTCCTCCATCTTCAGAGCCAGCAACCTTACATCTTTCTGTGCCTTCCTTCTGTGGTACCATCTTCCTCTGACTCTTTGAAGACCCTTGTGATTACATTCAGCCCATCTGGATAATCCAGCCCGTCTCCCTATTTTAAGGTCAACTGAGTAACAACCTTCACTCTTTGTCGTGTAACATAACATGTTCACGGGTTCTGGGGATTAGATACTGACATCTTTTTGGGGACTGGGCGGGGGCATTATTCTGCCTGTCGTGGAGATAGGACATTGGAGTTCAGAGATGACAGCACTTGTAAAGGGTACAGAACTTAAACCTCGTGGCTCTAAATCCCATGGGTCCCTCTCCTCTACCACAAGTTGTTTTGCTGTTACCAGTAGAGCTAGCGTTGTAATTGCAGATTCCGGTAACTAAGGAGAAATATAAAGGCCAGACTGAAACACGGTCACTGAAGCACTCTTGCTCACAGTCAAGTAGCTGTTGCATTCTTCCTGTTTTGTTTAATGTATATCATGACTATGTTTTTTATCATCAAAACAAATCCACAAACCCATATTATGTATTTGTTGCCCATATTGACGATGGTTTATATGCATTTTCCTCTTGAGAGGAAACCACTGTGCATTATTATGAACTGAGTGCTTCCAGGCTGGTGTCATCTGTCAAATTTTCATTCTGCTCTCGTCTTTGCTGTATCTCCAGGCGAGTGGCTCTCAGGTGGCCCGCCCCATTGTGTCGGGGGCCTTTATGAAATTCTCAAAGCAAATTTAATTTACTTTCATGTTCAAAGTAAGTGTGTGCGGTGCCCCACTTTGAGCAGTGGAAGCTGTTGCAAAAGTGGTCAATGGTAGATTGATGGGATGCCGGAAAAGTTGGCAAATACCCTGTTAACAAAGAGTCTATTACATTTGAATATTGTTGCCAGGAAGGGGAGAGGAGGGGGATCTGGCTTTTATGGAGAGCCTTTGTCCTGGGGCACTGGTCACGTGCTTCCATACATAAGCAGAAGTGGGACTGGAGGTGAAAGAATTTCTAAATTACTTACCACTCTTAAGTAATGAAACATTAAATGTGTGTGGGATGTTAGAAAGTGGCGCTGGTTCAGAGACCTCCAGATGATCTGGCTCCTGGCTTGTTCACTTTAGACTCCTGCCAGGGAAGAGGGCGCCCCCCTCCATAGAATGTGGCACCAAACCAAGCCCCAGGCTGGAGGGGCCAGGATGGGGGGTGGGGAGGACCAAGTCCAGAGCCACTGGACCCTTCTATGACGGGTCATAACCACAGAGGCTTGACACTGAGCGTAGGGAGTAGGTCTGAAAAAACAGAAGCTATTTTCCATACTGGGGCCCCTGCGTGGTCATTTACTATTAATTTCCCTTCCTTTAACCTCAATGAGTCTCAGTTTTCTGATGAGAAACCCTCATCAGAACACCTCTTTACAAAGCTTTGGTGAAGATCAGTAACATATGATGTGAAAGCACTTTGCAAATGAGCAGGTTACCAATGCCCAAGGTGCCATCCTGCTCCAGGTGTTAATCTGTGTCAGCTGCGATCACTCCCCACCCGTCCTGGACCACAGCTCCCACCCCCTCCCCCGTGGCCCAAGGGGGCCTGGAGTGCCAGGGCTAATGTTCCCCCCTTACTCCCTGAGATCTCACGTCACATTAAGGACAGTGGTTAGGGACAGAAAGGGAAAATAAAGCCAAATGTAAATGATTTGTAGGAAACATGCTGCAACAGTGAAACTTTAAATAGTGACACTTTGTCATCTGCCTTGTGATAGAGGCTGTCGAGTGTGGCAGTGAGGAGGTGGTTTTGGAGACACTGTTGGGCACTGCCAGGCTTATACATGAGCCTTTCTTAACCTCTCTGGGCCACAGGTTCCTCATCTGTGAAATGGGGAAGCAAGAGGATCTATCTCAGAGGGTGGTTGTGAGAATTAAATTCATTAACACATGAAAAGGGCTTAGCATTGCGCCTGGAAACTTAGATATGCATCACTGTTAGCTTTAATTTTTACTATCTTAGAACTTTTCTTAGGATTTTGTATCAGAAACTATAGTCATATACTTGCTTTCTACTTCTTAACCAAAATTTTTTTCCCCTGAGCTATATAGTAAGAGGATTGCATTTGAACTTTTTTAATAATTGATGCAGTACAAATTAGGAGCTCAGAGAAATGCTTTGGGCTAAAGAAACACATCCCCAAAATACTACAGTTTGGTATAATGCTCCGTGGTTTTAGTAGTAAGTACATGCCTCACTTAGTGAATAAGCACATAAATGCATCAGAAGAACAGAAATGAAAACCATACTTGAGAAAACAAAAACCCTTTTGATGTTTGTGTTTTTCATAATTAGGTCTAAGAGAAACAGAGAAGGATACATGCAGTCACTTGTTCTTTTTTGATTCTGTCCCGTGGATTTTGGATGTTTGAAAGCTGCAGTCACATTTAGAAAGAATGTCATGTTCTCTTTGGAAAACAATTAAACTTGTTAGCGCAGCAATGAAGAGCCACTCAGCTGGGACTCTAGAGTTTACACCAGATGTGGGTAATGTCCAGCCTGGAGAGATTAGGTGCGGAGCCACAAGAGACAAGAACTGTGCCTGCAACTCTTAGGACCAAGTGGCCACCAGGTGCTAGGTCACTTTTGTCTTACATGTAAAATAAAAAGGACTCTGCGTTCAGAAATCAAAGAAGAATTAGGGCTGCCATCTTGTGGCAGAAGGGAGCTTAGCAAGATGAACCTGGAAGCTCAAAGAATCTAGGTTTTGCTTCTAGTACCCTGCTGCCATTTCGCTCTTGCTGATTGATGACTTGGGCATCACACAAGCCAACCTCAGCTGGTTTCTCCCCTTCCTGGGATGGTCCAGTTTCTGAAACAAAGGGTAGGAAGGATGGTTGAGCCATCTCAGCCCCAAGGCTCAGTGTAGGGACAGAAGACCACAGGGAAGTAGAGCCCATGCACATTGGCAGCAATTTGATCCATCCGTTCATCCATCAACCCAGTCATTCGTCACACACATATTTATTACGTGTGTAAATGTGTGAAGGCTGCTGGGATGAACAAGGCAAAATCCTGTCTTCCGTGAGTTGACAGCAAGGTGGAATCAAGAGGTTTCTCTCCACGTGCTACACAGAGCAACCGATGCCTCCCTAGACTTAGAGATGAAATAGGAAGGGGACAAACAAAGTAAAAGAAGACAGCAGAGGTGGGAGGAAAGAATTTCTGGCGGTTTTCTTTTCTCCAACCCAGAGCATCAGAGGTGGAATGGGGTGGCAGAGAGGAAGGGAAAGAGAGTCTTCAGGACCTTCCTTCCTCGCTGCTGGCGCTGGGAGAGCGCTGTGCTGGCCGCCACCTGGCACTCACATCCTGGGCTGCATGGCTAGGGTCAGAGCTTCCAGGCTGTGGTTATCGGAAGACACTTTTAACCTTGGTTGCCCCACTCCACCCCCAGCCCAACCCATGTTTTTATTATCCGCTCTGGGCCGTGCTTCCTGGCCCCTCTCCAGCCTTTCCAGCTGTGTTACCACTGCTGACATGCTTATCAAAGGCCCGCAGTTCTTCTCCCTACCCAACTGCATTGCCCAAATCTTTATGGAATTGGCTTCTGGGGACTCCACCTTAACCTTCTTTCATTCCTTGACGGTGTCCCACAGACCTCTGGACTTGGGGATGGAGGGCTTTGGATGGGCTGGGAACCAAGTTGGGGGGACGTTGCTCTGGGTACTTCAGGCTGCACGTGTTCAGCATCGTTCTCCTTTTCCAGTCCCTGCCTTTATAACTTCCTCCGCATTCAACAAGGAGAGGACAAGACAGGCGGCCTCCCCACAGTGGTCTACAGACATCGAGGATGCTGGGTAACTTGCTGATTTCTTTTTACTTATGTTTTTCCAGTTGGACGGTCCAGTCAGCCCACAGAGGTAACTTGGGGAGATGGGTTTTCTTCTGTTATTTGTTCATTGACTTTGGGTAAAACATGACTCTCCACCACAGAGCTGGGAAAGTCCTTGTCCCTTCTCCATTCTTGTGGGGCTATAAAGATGTCTTTGTCTCTGAGGTCTGATCTCTAAGATGAAACATGCTATATAAAAATGGGATGATGTGACTTTGGCAGTCACATCATCTTGTGGTCTTTATGGAACCGTGGACTCCGGCACCGCCTCTGGTTGGTGAGTTTGGAAGTGGCCCCCATCTGATTTCTGAGGATTTCTACTGAGTCCTAATGGCTCAGGTTGGGAGGAACCTTCACGCTCATGAAGAGTTCACTCTTCTGCTGTCAGAACAGAGACATCGGACCACTGCAAATTCATTCCTCACCCTGCCACTCACTGCATCTGTTTTTTCTTCTTGAAAAATGAGACTATTAATTCCTACCACATGGGGTTGCTGTGAGAATTTAATGAGAAAATATCACTAAAAAGATATCCGGGTTAAACTATCTGAAATTGACTGAAGCTGCGTCATAGAATTTCCTGTCTTAATACCTCAAGGAACCTAGTAAATCACAGCCACCATTGCTAAAGATCTTTTATAAAGCAGACTTTCCAAACAATTCCATCTAACCCATTACCGCTCATAATGGTATAGATAAAAAACAGAACAAAACAACCTAGTCCATTTTAGCATAGTTAGAACCTGAAATGCCACATTCAGGGTTTTTACTCTGTTTTGTTTCCCTGAAGAATTGTAAAATCATGTTGCTTTTAAGGACAAAACTCTAAAATATCCATCCACGCCTAGATGCTCCCCCAGGGCCTTCAGATTCTAGTCACAGAATAGACTTTTCCCTAGTCTGTTACAGAAAAACACGTCTCAGCCGCTCTGTCCTTTTGTCTGTGATGCCCAGGATAACTCTGATGCTCAGCTTCAAGTTAAGACATCGCATTCCCCCAGATCACGTGGGTGAGCTGGGTGGGGGTATATATGGGAAAGGCGGAAAAAGACAGGTGTCTGCCTGGGTGTCAAGGGCTAGACTTCCCTGGGCTCACAGGCGCTCAGGCTCAAGCAAGTTCTTGTTCAATTTATATAATTCATTAAAATCTCAGCAAAGTTATCAAGGGCTATTTTCCTACTGAAATGTGCTTTTATACCCAAGATAGCGGTCAGACTAGACAGGACATGAGACAAATTTCTGCAAATTCGCGTTGACCAGATAATTCAACCATGGATTGAAAAACAGCACAAAGGGTCACTATAGTTGTCAGGCAGGCACAGTCACAGTTCAGCCAATGCGGGACTTGCCAAGACACCTGTGACCCGTGCACATGTGCCGCCCTGCCTTCTCTGGGCTGTCAAGTGTCCGTGGGGATTCCAGGCTTCCTAAGACCTTCTACAGCATTAGACCACTTCTCATGCCAGCAAGTTGAATTATTCCCTTTTTTTCCCCCTAGATACTGTATGGAGTTCAAGACAGAGTCATTGACCCCTCACTGTGCCCTGGAAAACCGCCCCCTGACTCGCTGGATGCAGTACCTCCGAGAGGGGTACACAGTGTGTGTGGACTGCCAGCCCCCGGCTATGCACTCTGTGAGCCTTCGCTGTTCTGGAGACGGGCTGGACTCTGATGGGTAAGGGAGGGAAACTGGTTGGAAGGTTTTTCTTGGTACTCACTTGGGAAGAACTGTCCTCTCCTCGTCCTAAACAACGGACCAGTAGGTAGCAGATCGAGGCGTGATCTGGGAAGTGAAAACAACGAGGAGAACCCTCCATCTGGCAACTGTAGAGTCCAGGGCGCAGTTCACACTTGGGGACTTAGAGGCTCTATACCAGAGATGAGTGGGTGAATTTGGGTATTGGGTTTCGGGCCAAGATCCTAAATGACCACCAAGGACCTGCACAAAAGCAACCATACACGCTATGGAAACAGAAGAGCTTGCCTTTTTTCTAATACTGTATTAATGGGCACTAAAATTTGAATTTTATATAATTTTCATGTATCACAAAATATTCTTTACTTTTCTTTCAACTCATTTTCCCCACATCTCCACGTGGTCCCCTACCTAGAAGTGCTCTGAACCCCATCCTTTCAGGCTTTTATGGAGGCCCCATTAGGTAGGCACCATTGATTAAATCACTGGCCATTGGCCATCGATTCTACCTTCAGCCCCTCTCCCTGGAGGTCAGGATGGGGGTGGGAGGGCACTGAAAGTTCTAACCCTCTAACCACCTGGTTGGCTCTCTTGGCAACCAACTCCCTACTTAAGGTGCATCCACATAACAAAAGACACCTTTATCACTCTCAATACTTAGGAAATTCCAAGGGCTTTGGGTGTTACCAGCCAGGAACTCTGGACAAAGACCAAATATACATGAGAAATACATTTTGGTCATCTGAAGGATAAAATATACATTTCTTGTAAATTATAATGTTGCATACACCTACAGAAATCTATAGATTGTCCAAGAGAATTGACCCTTGAAAACATTTTAACCATCTAAAAACCCGTCTCCATCCTGTATTTAGCTACCAGTTAAATCTGCTAACACTATTCATAATTAAAAGAAGGGCAGGCTTTGTAATGGACATGGATTATGGTTTTAAGTATGTCAGCTGGAACTGGTAAAAATATAGATTAGAAAGAAAAAGTATGACTTTTCCAGTTAATCGCTATTCCCACAGTACATTTTAATATTTAATAACCTGAATTTATGTTTATTAGTCTCTTGTGCCAGCAGCCTCTGTGCTGAGTTCACCGTCTACACAGTAAAATGGGTAAGGAACTCGGGAAATAGACAATTAATATTTAGATTTAATGTTTTTCTGCAATACCTCATCCTTATTTTGACTTTAAATGAATATTATCATTTAATTCGTACCCATAAAACACCTTAAACCGTGGCTGAGGTTCCAGTGACTTTAAAAATAATAATTTCAATAATCTGGCTTTTTTCTTTTCACGTCTCCCATTTTTCATTATGGAATCAAAGAGTTGGAAAGTGTTACAAGGGAGCATTTGGTACAGACCCCTCTAATTTAAATACACACAAACCAGGAAGCCTTTTTCCTTTATGTAGCACTTCATATACTCAGAGCGAGTGAGAGAAACCAACACAGTAGCCTCAAACTACAGTTTAACAGGGGTGTCCCCAAATAGAGATTGTTAACTTGTTTTAATGGAACCCAAAGAAGGGACTTAGTTTGTGATTTTTTTTTTTTAATTTGTAATGCATTTCAAAACTCTAGGTGTGATCATTCTGGGGAAAAAAAAAAGAAAAACAACAAATTTCGATTTATAATTCTGTAAATTAGAATTTCCTTTGGTTTGCTTTTCGTGTAACTCCCATTTTCAAAATACTGTTTCAGAAACCAGACTCTCCATTGGCAAGCAGTCGGCAGTCCTCGGTGTCAAGGAACTTGGAAAAAAGTGCGGCGAGTTGAACGGTGTTCTTGTCCAGCTGTTCACAGCTTTATTTTTATATAGATTGTGATAGAAATATTTCAAAATGTGTTTGTAAACATGCTAAATATTAGCAAATCACGTTCAGTGTTTCATAATCCTTTATAAACTCTTTGGCCAAGGGCCCCTGTATAAAAGTCACTGCCACACTGTGAAATAGAGAAAGGAAATTTAGGGGCCAGTTCTCAAGAAACACAGCGCCTTTATTTTTATTTTTACTAAGTTGAGGGCCCACCATGCAGTCTCCTGTGGTTTTACATCCTTGACCTGTCACCTGGCGGCTCCTCATTCAACAGGTGGCACACTGGACACGGAGTTCATGTTTGTCTGTACGTGGTTCGTTTATTGATAAGCTGTCATGTTCAGGGTATCCATGCTTTGAGTCTTGCATTCTTTCTTTCTATTCTGTAATCTCTTAAAAAGAAAAGCCTTAAAAACTGCCTATAGATATATGTATGCTCATACATTTCCCATATATTATTCCATAAATTCTGAAATAATAACTGTCGAACAAATTGTCACAAATCACTTTCCACAGTCAAGCTAAGATTTAGTAAGCTAATGCAAAACCAACAACTATACTAAAATACTTTTTTTAAACTAGAAGAAATTTTCTTCAGTTAATCGAAAAGAATCAATCAAATGTTCATTCTAGGTCAGTACAGAGTTTCTTTAAATGTTATAATTTCCAGGAAGTGAAATTTTGGCACCAATGAATGAAACACTTGCTTTAATTGTGAACATTCTACCATCATTAGCATCTAAGATTATTTCCAAGGCTTAAATTAAGCCTGAAGTTGACTAAGATGAGCTTGGAGTTAATTGAAGTAAAACATACGACTTTGTTTTCCTGCAGCACACATGCACACGTTTTCTTATGTCTGGAGTAGAAGCCAGAGGTATAGATTATGGATAGCAGAGATTTATTACAAATGCTAGGATCCCCACCACCGCACACAGAGAAGTATTAGTCTCATTTTATGATTAGAGAAGCAATGAACCAGAGACAAAGTGCCTTGTTGAAGGATTTGGGATGAATGACAGCTGGACCCAGGTCTTAGCTTTTCATCCAGGAATCAGCTTTGATGGAGAGCCTGATGGTGCTATAAAAGCAAAGCCCTTTTTATTTCTGCAAAATTTTATATTCAGGGTATTTTCTTGGGAGAACAGAAGCTTGAGATTTAATCTACCGGCATACCCTGGAGATGTTTGGGTTCGGTTCCAAACCACCACAATAAAGCGGGTCACAAGAAATTTTGGCTTCCCAGTGCAAATAAAAGTTTTGTTCACACTATATTGAAGTTTGTTACCTGTGCAATAGCATTATGTCTGAGAAAACAATGTGCATACCTTCATTGAAAAATACTTTATTACTGAAAAACGCTAACCATCATCTGAGCCTTTAGTGAGTAGTAACAACAAAGATCACTGATCACAGAACACCTTAACAAATATAATAATAATAGTGAAAAAGTTTGAAATATTGTGAGAATTACCAAAATGTGACACAGAGACACAAAGTGAACAGATGGTATTGGAAAAATGGAGCCAATAGACTTGCTAGATGCAGGGGTGCCACAAACTTTCAGTTTGTAAAAAATGCAATTATCTGTGAAGCACAATAAAATGAGATATGCTCGTATATGAAATTCCTTTGGTTTCATTTGTATAAAATATTATTACCTAACAAATGATTTACTAAAATACATATTTCTTGGTACATTCATGTAATAACATAATAATTGCAAGCTTAATAGGGATGGAAAAATCCCCAATATTTAATGCTGAGAGCAGCAATATTTCTGACTATATATATTCAGCTGTCAGAATTGTTTGTGTGGTAAATTAAATTCTTCAGAAACCAATAATAAAAAATTTGAGTCTCATCAGGGTTAGGAATTCCAACTCTAAGTTCAGAATTAACATTTTAAGGCCATTTCTAACATTTGTAAAGCAAAATTTTTTTTAATTGAAGTATAGTCAGTTATAATCTGTCAATTTCTGATGTACAGCACAATGTCCCAGTCATACATATACATACATATATTTGTTTTCATATTATTTTTCATTAAAGGTTATTACAAGATACTGAATATAGTTCCCTGTGCTATGCAGAAGAAATTTTTTTAAGTCTATTTTTATATACAGTGGCTAACATTTGCAAATCTCAAACTCGTAAACTTATCCCTTCCCACTCCCTTTTGTAAAGCAAAATTTTTGAAGGCAAACCTGAGTAATTTTCAATGTTGCTTAAAATTTTATGCCACTAAATAAACTTTCTGTTCACATTTTTAAAAGCTCTTTATTTATCTGACTAAAAAATACCCAAATTTTCTGGACTGATCAGAGAATAAATAAAATTTCACTATAACCTAAACAAAACACTTTAGAACTGATCGACATAAGTATGATGCTAACAGCAAAAAAGCTGTGATGTACTTATGGTTCCAATATGTGTTATAACATTTAGCATAATTGAGTTGTGTAAAATCAATTTTTTCAAAGTAGGTCTTTCGCTTTTGGTACATGGCCATTAATTACTTTCATATTGGGGCATATTTTTATTTCTATTCTTGAGAAGAATTTCATAGGTTAGAAGTCATAACTATTCAATAATGATCTTGAAAAGCTTGTATTCATTCTAGCAAAGCCCAAGGAAACAGTCCAGAAATGAAACATGTAGTCCAAGTGATTAATGAAGAACCAAAAGTTTTTACTTTCAGAGTTAAAGATCAAAGTAGGTAAGACTTCTTCAGTGTTCTTTTCTAATGAGCACGTTAGAGTTGGGGTCCTTTCCACGGGCACTCTACAATGATTTACGGACCCTAGAATTCCTTAATAGGCTGCTTTTCAAAAATGCATGAGGAAAGTACTTTGAACAAAAATAAATATCCCCACTCAGGACACAAGGAGGAAGGAATTAGAGATGGTGATCATTTAGAAAATTGGGGGAAAAAAAGAGAGAAAGAGATGACAAAGAATAAGGTGATATATAATCACACCGTTCTGTTTTGGGTTCATTCTTGGGGCGTTTTTATTCGAGAATGTTGCAATGATGCATACACAGCAATAGCAATAATTTAAATTACTTAATTCTATTCTGGCATAAAAAGTTTAATTAGCCGTCTTTTCTAGGTTTGCACCAAAATGATGTAAAATAAAACTGGTTCTGCCCTCTAAGAATATTCTCGTGAAGATTCGTACAAATAACTGTAGTTTGATTTAGGAAACCTGGGCATTCTGAGGTGTAAGCGATCAGGTGATGGGCACATAGAAAGAGAAGCGAAGCTTCTAGGTCAAGGTGACGGATACATGTTTACCTTCTCTCCTTCCTCCAATCCCACTGAGGTGACAGGATTCACAAAAGAGAATGAGTCTATAACATAGATCGGAAGGGAGGGTGGGAATCAGCCCAGAGATTTTGAAGAATATTTTTGAAGATTGAAAGCACCCGGGATTCTACTGATGGGTAAACCAGAATGGAGGGACCATCCCCTTTAAAACACATAGAAAAGGAGGTGGAGTCAGAGGTGAGAGCCATTCTTCTCAGGATGGAGAGGGCTCACTGAGCACAAACAAGATGAATTCAAAAAATCCCCACCCCCTAAAGACAAATTTGTGAAATTTAAAATCAAGGATAAAGAAAACGCTATAAAACCTTCCAGACAGAGAAAGACAGATTACCTACAAAAAAATAAGACTCTCCCTGAGAGACAGCAACATCAGTGGAGACTTAAAGTCTAATAGAATAAAACCTCCAAGCTCTGAGGGAGTATGACTTTGAAACTAACATTTCTCTATCAGCCAAGCTGAAAGTGCGAAGGCAAGATTCAGCCTTTCCAAGGCAGAGAGATTCAGAAGCCTTGTGAGATGGTTGTAAGTAGGGTATTTTTTTTCAGTTAAACAAGGCAGGTTGAACATATATTTACCCCCTTTACCTGCCAATTCCCAATAAAATTACAATTAAAGGATTTTTTTTAAGACAAAAATGTAATGAAAAGGAGATTAAAAGAGAAAAATACAGCTGAAAAGAGATGGTCACAAAATTTCAGGACTAGAAAAGGAGAGGCTGTCTAAGAAGAAAGGAGAAAGCCAAAGGCCTCTGGGGGTGAATTTCGGCGAGCAAGGTCATTGACAACACCCTGGAAAGGCTCACTTAAGGTTCCAGATGTTTCCTTCAGCGGAATGGTTGAGAGTTGGTATAAGAAACAGAGCCTTAGATTGCTCTGCAGCCAGGCAACAGCTGGACAGAAGGTTTACTCTTTGGTAGGGACTCCAGATTGGACACACCAGAAAGAACAACTGAGAAGGGAGAATCAGTCTCTGGTCTGAGTGGTGACCCCCCAGGTCCCTCCTCCACACGCTCTGAGAACGCTGTATTCCCTCCCTCACTGCCTCACTGCGACACTCACCCACTCACACCAGCTTGCTGGATTCCTCTCTGAGAAAATGAATCATCCAATAAAATGACTATAGGTACCAACAGGTGAAAGAGCCAAGTTTCTGTCCGATCACTGCCTTGACGTGTGAGCACACATTAGTGCTCACAGAGCTTTCAAGCAACTTCTTCATCCTCACTTATAAATACAAATGGACAGCTCAGTTCAGCCAGGCACTTGGAGGAAAACCATTAACAAAGAAAGAGGGAAACCAAAATTAAACAGAAACAAACAAGCAATATAACAAAACTCAGAGGGAGTAAACACTGCCAGGAGCAGAAAAATGAAATGCTATCAATCATGAAATAAGAACAGAATGCCCTAAAAAAGGAATAATCAGAGCACTAAAAGCTCTTGTAAATTAAAAAGTTTGATAGTGGATATATGTTATAAAACCTTGGAAGATTAAGTTTTATGACATTTTCCCCAGAAAGTAAACCAAAAAATTAAAGATACAGAAATTAGGAGACAAAAGATAAGAATTAGAAGATCCGTCAAAGAGATGCAATGCCTGAGTAATGGGAGTTCCAGAAAGAAAGTACAAAAAAAGACAGGAGAAAATTGGCAAAGAAATAACAGAATAATACTTTTCAGAACTTAGCCCAGGGATTTCAGAATTCATTGAGTATCATTAGTTTAAAAAGAAGACTCACATCAAAGCATGTTACCATGAAATTCTAGCTCTTTGGATACACAGAAGAATTTACAAGCTTCCAGAGAGAAAAAAAGTAGGTCACATGCAAAGGCTCAGTAATCAGAATGGTGTCAGAGTCACAGTACCTAAAGCAACATTTGATGCTCAAGACAACTGAGCAATGCCTTTGAAATTCTGAGAAAATGTTTTTCAAACTAAAATTCTATATCCAATGAAATTATTCACGAAATAGAGGGGTAGAATAAGGATGTATTCAGACATGCATGATATAAACATTTTTCACTATATGCATATCTTCTTGGGAAAATATAGGAGGATAAATGAGAGTATAAGCCAAGAGAGAGGATCCAGGAAACAGGGACTCAAGACCAGGAGAGAGATAATTGGGATGCCCAGAGCCAAGATGAGGGGAGATGTAAGCTTGACAGCTGTGCAGCCAGGCTGGAGGGCAAGCAGACACATGGGGGTAGGAGCGATGCCACCAAAACCCAATGAAGTCAGTAGAATGTCTGACATATTTCAACATAATCAGAGGTTTTAAAATTGGTCGGAGAATTTGGAGATGAGTAAGTGATGGGTACACACAGCTCAGATGTAAATAACAGTTACAGGGTTATAGTAACACAAACACTGAATACTGATTTAACCAGAAACATGCAAATTACTCTGGAAGAACTGGGGAGAAGCATATGTATGCGTGAGAGGTAAATGCTTGTGGAGGGTTGCGGGGAGCATGCAAGAGACCCCAAACCTCATGCTGTATCGTGGGGGGTGACTAATGTAACACCTCACACTGGAAAATAACAAACAGCAGTCTGAGCATACACCTGAGAAAAGAGCTGAAAGAGTTGAGAATGGTCACTTGAGCTTAGAGAGAATTGAAGGGCAGTGGGAGGAAAGAGTGCTTCAGTTTTAAAGCCATGACCGTGGAGGGGAGGGTATAGCTCAGTGGTAGAGCACATGTTTAGCAGGCATGAGGTCCTGGGTTCAAGCCCCAGTATCTCCATTAAAAAAAATTAAGGAAAAAACTCAAAGACCTATCAATAAAGGAATGGGAATTAAACTACAGAACATATATACAATGGAATGGGAGAAATTGTACTAAGAAATAAAAAGTGAGTCTATGAACGTGTATTATTTTTATAAAAATGGACATAAACGTTTCAAGAAGAAATTGAAATCAAAGTATGGTCAAAATCTGAAGCAAACTAAAATGTGGCATGATTTTGAGGTACTGGAGAGAGGAAGATAGAAAAACAGTGAGACAGAAGGGGAGAATACAATTTACCTTGACAGTTCGTTGAGTTGCATGAATTTTGTGATACAGGATTACATTTTTTGGTGAGTCAGTCACACTTCTAGGATCTCATGTGAATAATATACTATATAATCATAACATACGGTTATCAGTTTCTGATTTTTTAGAATCAACCCATACACAAAACACAAAATATTTCATTATAATCACTGGACAGAATAAATGCTAAAACCAAACCAACAACAAACTGAACCCTTGACAATGTAAAAGTAACAGGAGGGTGTGGGAAGCTGGGCAGAGGGGAGGCACAGAGGGGTAGAGGGTCCGAATTTCCTCATCCTGCATAGGGGAGACAAGGATTTCTGTCTAGAGCAGATGGCACAAGAAAGAGCTTTAGCTACTAAAAGAAGGAATAGATTGAGCAAAGCTCAGAAGCAGCGCAGGAGGAGAGGGAGAGGAAGTGTGAGGCAGTGGGTGTCTCACCTGTCACATCAGGGAGTTGCTGTCATAGGTATCAGGCCATGGTAAGTAACCTGGAAATGGAAGCATAAGCACGTTATTTAGAATGGGGATGGTGATGACCCCCAGGACATCTAAAACCGAGAACCATCCTGGAAAGTGGGCCTGGGAGAGGAGAAGCCCTTCTCTGTTCAGTGTCTTCCTGTATCCTTTTCATTTTCTTCTTTTTTTTTCAGTAAAAATGTTTAGTCTTTCATTGCTTTTTTAAAATTCAGTCAGTTTACAATGTTGTGTCAGTTTCTGGTGTATAGCACAGTGCTTCAGTCAGACAGGAACAGACATAGATTTCTTTCCATATTCTTCAGTTTCTTTGTAACGTTAGGGGACAGCGAGTGATCTGGAAGATGCAGGAGGCAGGCTAGGGTGGGGGGAAGCAGACCAGGCACATTTTGCCTCTGTGCTCCCGCTGCACTTTGTTCACATGGAAACACCTCTCCACCCTCCCCTCACCGCCCGGGAATGGTGGGCTGTTGTTCCAGACCAGCACGGCCAGTTTCTTCACCACCACCAGCAGGCTGGGTTCCACCATTTGGCAGCAGCCAGGGGCCTTCTTATAGTCCTTATTTCCCTTGCCGCCCTCTCTTCAGCAAGATGGTCAGAATGCACGCAGGCTAAGTCTTGCCTGCTGTCTATTTCTGCAGTAGTTTCTCTGGCACACAGCTACACCTACTCATTCACAAGTTTATGTCTATGGCTAACTGCAAGCAGAGCTGACAGAAACCTCATGGCCCACAAGGCCGAAAATATTTTATCTGGCCCTTTCCA